TCAGAACATATATGGTTTGTATGGGTTTCTTGGGGAAGGAAGAAATTAAAAGCAAATGAGAGAAAATTAAATCTCAAATAGCTTTGGTTGTTAATATTGCTATTAAAACATACATATTACAACCATCTACAGTCTGTATGACATTATCGATCTGAAACCTTTTCTTGGTCATCCCCACAAAATCACTTTTTGTATTCATCAACTTGGCTTTGAAAACTTTTAAAATTTAAAATTGAATTTTTCATTAGAAGTTTTCAATATATATATTTGTTATAAAAAAAAGTACAAGTTACTATATAAAAGGTGCTCTAAACAATGAACGAATTCGGTATGCTTTTTTTCATCTATTATTATTACGGATTAGAATAGAAACTCTAATACTAAATCAACGAATCAACGTAAAAAATCATTACTGAAATTGGTGTATATTTGTTATAAAACAGGTATACAAAGGTGCTCTAATCAAATCGTAGAATGAACGAATCTGGATATACTTTTTCTATATAAAGATGCTCTAATCAATCATAGAACGAATGAATTCGGATAATACTTTTTTCATATCAACATGCAGGTAGATGTACGCCATGATTTTTAAAAATCTAGAACCGAATTCAGATATGGTTTTTTTCATCTATTTATAAATTGTACACCATTATTATAAACATACGAAATCTTTCTTTTATCGAATTTTTTTTTTTTTTAAAAAAAACATTTATCCTTTACAAATTTTTTCATAGACATTGAAAAAGTTATTATAAAAAAATGGAAAAAAATAATAACTTTAACTCAAATGATGAAAAGAATATTGACATTATAGAAGTAATAACAGTATTGAATACAGAAAATGATAAAATATCAATTATAGAAGAAGATAATCATAATTCTAACTTAAACACAAATGATACAAATGATGATGCTATTCAACAACAAAATAATCCACATAATGGATGTGATATTTTTGAAATAAAGTATAGTCCAAATTTAAAGTTTTTAGTAACTCATAGTAAAAATGATTCATCTATTGTTGGATGGACAGTTGATCTTGATGATGGAACTATCCAGCCAGATAAAGATTATTACTTTAAATATTCTAAAGATGATTTTGTAAATGGAAATGTTTTTATAAAAGATGTTTCTGATGACAAATATATAATTTTATATGTTAAAGTTTTTAATTATTATAGTAAGCAATTATTAATTAATTGATATATGTATTTTATTATTAAAACAACTAAATAATAAAATATTTAAATCATTTAAATTAACTTTTAGAATTTCTTGACTTTACAAAAAAAAAATATGTTGACTTTATAATTAATGGTAAAATATACCATGGAGAATTTTGTGATGGGAGTTTTATTACAAATAATTGTTTATTAATGATTAAGGATGATGGTGATATCTATAATTTATACAATTTTTCATATGTGAGTGATGATGACAATGGTGCAAATGATAAATTGGTTCATAAATCAACATATTGTTACAATTATTGTATTATTAATTTTTTTGGAAATTCTAGAAATTTTCTAATTGGTTTTTATGGTTCATTTATATCACAATGGAATGGTTTAACAATGTCATATCAAGATAATTATTATTTAGTATATCAACAATACACTGGTGTTATATTTAATAAAGATAAAACAATAATGGCAGTATATTATGAAATTCATTCAATATTGGTTGTATATTCATTAAAAAATAATATTATTATTTCTGCAAGTAAGTATTTATATATTCTTTGCATGTTATATTAATTTATAAACTTAATAGATATATTTTTATTTTGTAGCCCAATTGGAAAATAATATTAATATGGAAAAATATGATTTTATTTATCCAACAGATCAATTAGAATATTTATTAGTAATATATTATCATAGCAACACAAAAAGTTATAATTATAAATTAATGGATCCTTATAATCTTGGTGATTTTATGGATATTACAGGGTATTTTACAAATGAAAATGAAGATATTTTATTTAGACTAATTTTACCACATGGTAAAATAGCCAAAGTTACAGGCAATCAATTATACATTAAAAAAATAATTAACAATGAAAAATTAGATAATATTCAACAAAAAATACCTTTAAGGAACAATTATTATTTACAAGAAATACAAGAAATACTTAAAATGCCTAAGTTGCTTGAAACACCAGAAGAATTTATCATAGAAACTGGGAAATCAATCAAATGGTCAATAGAATATGATAATAAATTTAAAAATATTAATATAAAAGCACAAAAAATTAATGATGGAATGGAAGAAGAATTATCAACAATTGATGAATATGGTCTTAATAGTAATGAAAAATTTGAGTATTGTAAATTATTTAATAATGATGATTTAATTTTTTTAACAAGTAGTTGTATACATATTTTATCAATTAGCAACAAAAATTCCAAAATATTTACAAAATTTGTTAAATATTTTTACATAATAAGTATGGTTAAAGAAGCTATTGAGAATAACAACATTGAAGATTATTTATTTGATTTCAAATATATTATTAAAGCTATTGGTTATTCATATATTGATAAACATCAAATTTCTAGACAACCTTTTAAAGAAATGTTTGATAGTATGCTCAATGAGTTTTATTATTTCAACAAATTTGGAAAGGAAATATTAAAGATAGTATTAGATAGTAATAATAGTATTCTAGTTGAAAAAGTATTTGATATTTGTCTTGGTCATTTTATAAAAGATACTGATTTAAATATTAGTTTATTAAAAATAATTATATTAAAATTACCAATACTAGAAAAAAATCATTATACTTTAATATCAAAATTCTTTAGTCAGACTTCAATGATATTATTTCCATTTGAGAGAAGATCTTACAATTGGAATACTTTTTATAATGCTATGTGTTATATTAATTTATAAACTTAATAGATATATTTTTATTTTGTAGCCCAATTGGAAAATAATATTAATATGGAAAAATATGATTTTATTTATCCAACAGATCAATTAGAATATTTATTAGTAATATATTATCATAGCAACACAAAAAGTTATAATTATAAATTAATGGATCCTTATAATCTTGGTGATTTTATGGATATTACAGGGTATTTTACAAATGAAAATGAAGATATTTTATTTAGACTAATTTTACCACATGGTAAAATAGCCAAAGTTACAGGCAATCAATTATACATTAAAAAAATAATTAACAATGAAAATTTAGATAATATTCAACAAAAAATACCTTTAAAAAACAATTATTATTTACATGTAATGCAAACAACACAAGGAATATTTGAAATGCCTAAGAACCAGCAGAATTTACCATAGAAACTGGAAAATCAATTAAATGGTCAATAGAATATGATAATGCATTTAAAAATATTAATATAAAAGCACAAAAAATTAATGATGGAATGGAAGAAGAATTATCAACAATTGATGAATATGGTCTTAATAGTAATGAAAAATTTGAGTATTGTAAATTATTTAATAATGATGATTTAATTTTTTTAACAAGTAGTTGTATACATATTTTATCAATTAGCAACAAAAATTCCAAAATATTTACAAAATTTGTTAAATATTTTTACATAATAAGTATGGTTAAAGAAGCTATTGAGAATAACAACATTGAAGATTATTTATTTGATTTCAAATATATTATTAAAGCTATTGGTTATTCATATATTGATAAACATCAAATTTCTAGACAACCTTTTAAAGAAATGTTTGATAGTATGCTCAATGAGTTTTATTATTTCAACAAATTTGGAAAGGAAATATTAAAGATAGTATTAGATAGTAATAATAGTATTCTAGTTGAAAAAGTATTTGATATTTGTCTTGGTCATTTTATAAAAGATACTGATTTAAATATTAGTTTATTAAAAATAATTATATTAAAATTACCAATACTAGAAAAAAATCATTATACTTTAATATCAAAATTCTTTAGTCAGACTTCAATGATATTATTTCCATTTGAGAGAAGATCTTACAATTGGAATACTTTTTATAATGCTATGGATATTAAAGGATCAGTTTATAATAGTTTTTGGGATTTTTATTATAAATATAATTATGTTGGGAAATTTATAAAATTTATAAATGAAAAATTAAATAACAAATCTTCAAAACCATGTATAGTATTAGCAATTCCATATCCTGGGTTACTTACTTACAACAATGAATATTCATTTTGGAAAGAATTGTTTTATAAGCCAGCAAATAGTAAATTTATTGAATTAGATACTTTAGAATTATATAAACATTGGAATGGACAAGTAATCTTGAATTTCAAGTGGAGTAATTTTGGATTCAAATATTATTTAGGGATATGGATCATTTATACAGCATTTTTATTATGCTTTGCAATTGCAACCTCTACTTCACCAGGTCAATTATCTGATGAAAATAGAAATTCATTATTAGTTATTACAATCATCCTTGGGTTGTTTCATCTTAATTTTGAAGTGAGACAATTTATTTGGAACCCAATG